TTCTCTCTCCCCCCCCTCCATTTCTCCCCTCCTCTCTCTCCCTCCCTCCCTCCTCCTCCCCCTTTCCCTCTGCCTCTTTCTGTTCCTCTCTTTCCCTTTCTCCACTTGTGATCCAGTGAAGGAACTATTGAAACTGCTATAGCCACAGGACCCAACAAAGCCCACAAGCCAGTTTTAGGATCAAGGCTGTCACTTTGCCCTTTCAAACAAGATTTTAAACGGCTCTAAGAATAATTGCCAATTACCTGATCAGTCCAGAAATTGACAATGTCAGAGCTGGAAGGGCCCTCAGGTCTTACCTAACCTGGCTGTCCATTTGACACAGAGAAGATGGAGAGAATGAAACCTACACACAGTTATGCTAGGGAGTAATGGCCATGATAGGACCACCATCTGGGTCCCCCAGCCCCTGGTTGCATCCAAGCTCTTTGCATTGAACCACAGCTGGGTCTCAGGAGCTAGGTTCCTGACCCCTTATACTCTGCTCCTTTTGTCTCATCACCTTCTTCTCACTCCATATTCTACAAAGACAGTCAACATCAATTATTTGATAAAAGTGACTGTGAGCATAGAAGCCACAGGTTTTGGGCAGACCCACATCTGACCTAATCCTATGAGGTAGACAGACTATCTATTACACAAAGCAGTTTAAATGGATTTGCCCAGACTGACACGGTTTGTAACTGTCGAAGGCAAGATTTGAACCCAGGTTCAACTCTGAAGCCTCAAGACTTCCCCACTTGGACCAGGAAACCTCCTTGACCCCTGAATGACCTTGATCTGCCCTTGTGTTACCCACACATCCTTCCCTCTCTGACATCCGCTCCTGCCCCAGCACCGCTGTCAGCCTGGAATGCACAGTGGCTGGTAATCAATGTCACACAACAGGAACATTTGTTGATGCCAAGTGCAAACTGTTGCAGTCTGTATAGATTAAGCCACTGCTGCTGACTCCATGAAAGTAAATGAGCTTTTCCGACGGCTGCGGAAATAAATTTAAATGGCAGTGCTGAAGGGCCAGAGACTGTGGCTGAGTGAGTGTCTCCTGCAGAAAATTGACAAGGACAACTATCAGTCCCAGCACCTTTGTCCCCAGGATGTAATTCCTCTCTGTCTCGAGATCATCATCAGAGATGTGCTGACTGCTTCCTGCTGAAGGTCATGATGACAGTAAAAACCGTGCCAGTGGCTGGCACACACTAAGCACTCACTGTGGGCGAGTTCCCGATAGGACTGCATGTGCTTCACATACATTAGCTTACTGAACCATGACAACCCCAGGAAACAGAGACTTAAAGTTTAGCCCCATTTTACAGATGAGGAAACTGAAGCTCAAAGACGTAACGCCATTTGCCAGCTTGCAATTGGCAGCACTGGGTCTCAAAGAAGTTCATGAAGCTGGTTTCAGGCACAATTCTGCCAAACAGTTGCTGGGGCAAGCCCTTATTTAAAATTACTTGGTGGTTTTACTTTCAAGACAAAAATAAATTGTAAGGAGTCTGCAGGGTATTCAAGGCCACCAGGGCCTGGCCCCGACCTCCCTACCTCACCAGCTTTCTTTGAAATCACCTTTTACCTCTGCTCCTTGTCCCCTTGCATCACTCTTTTGCACTGACCTCAGCCAGGCCTCCATGACCTTCCCACATCTCTCTGTTCTGAACTTGCCTCATGATTCTAAATCCTCAATTCTTGCTGTGTCTCTCATAAAGTCACTTTTATATTATTTAGCCAAAAACCATGCTCCCTCAATCCTAGAAGAGTATGCCCCTGAGCCAGGGCACAGAGCTTGGAGAAGAGAGTGTGGGCTGGTTACAGCCCCATTCATCCTCTTAGGGGCATGTCCTTGTGCAGTAGACAACCTGCCCAACTGTACATGGTGGTCCTGCCCTACAGACTGGGTTAGGGGCCTTGTACTCTCTATCCTGTTAGCATGCAAAGCTTCTCTTTTACTAAACATTTATCACATCAAATATTATTACCTCTACTTTCCTATTCCCCCTTCCAATATGCATGCAACTAAATTGTGAGACTTTTGGGCCCTCGGTTTCTATAGACTTAATGCTTAGCTCAGGGTTGGTAGGATCAACGCTAAGACTCCATGGTCAGCAAAAGGAAGGAAGGGCGTGGGGGCATGAGGGAAGGACAGGAGAAGGAGAAAGAGGGAAGGAAGTAGGGAGGGAAGGAAGGAAAGAAGGAAGGAAGGAAGGGAGGGAGGGAGGAAGGAAGGAAAGGAGGGAGGAAGGGAGGGAGGGAAGGAGGCAGCCCCCTTATCTGTTGATGGGTCTGTGCCAGCCTCCTGACAAGCCTTGGGTGCCCCCTGAGGAGGGCCACCCTCAGAGTCTGACAGAAAATGGAGGACCTAAACCCCCAAGCCTCAAGCTAACTGGTATCTTTTCCCTCTTCCCAAGATGCACTGCCGGAGGGAGATGCCAACCCTTCAGGTACTTACCTTCTGCCCTCAGGAGCCCTGGGAAGCACCGGTCTGAGCAAAGAAAGCCTGGAAGAGAGAGTGACAACCGCCCCTCTGAGTCCAGCGCAGTTGGGGGAAGAGCTGCACGAGCTGGAGCTGGAGGGGATGGGCCCCTCCGCACGTCCAGAGCCCTCAGCCCTGTCCACGCTGCTTCCGGAGGCGGCCAGCACCAAGCTTGCCTTCCTCCCCAGGAAGAAGCTGCCTCTGATCAAGCAGGTGAACTCAGCCAGGAAACAACCGAGGCCGAAGGCCACCTCTGCAGCAGCCCTCCCGAGGGCGGCGTCCCAGCCTGCATCCCCGGGCCTGCGTCTCCTCTCCTCTGCCACAGAAAAGCCGGGTCCACCTGGGGACCCTGACCCTGTGGCCTCTGCAGGTGAGGAGACACTTCGCCTGCCGTCGGAGGATCCCCTATGGCTGGACCAGAAGGAAGGTGCGGTCCCCACAACGCCTGCACCCCTGCAGATCTCTCCTTTCACGTCACAACCCTATGTGGCCCACACGCTTCCCCAGAGACCAGACCCCGGGGAGCCTGCCATGCCTGATGAGGTCCATGAGGCGCCTCCTGAGGACGTCAGTCCCATGACCTTGATGGACAAAGGTGAGAATGAGCTGACCGGGTCAGCCTCAGAGGAGAGCCAGGAGACCACAACGTCCACCATTATTACCACCACGGTCATCACGACAGAGCAGGCCCCAGGTAAGCAGCCCCCAACTCCTCCAGCCCTCCTGCAGCAGCAATGAGGCACCCACAGCAAGCAGGGCACAGGGGAAGGGTGGGACCCAGGAGGATCCAGGCCCTGCCATCAGTTACCATCTACTGAGCATGACCCTGTGACTCAGCATTAATATCCCCATTTTAAAGATGAGACTTCTGGGCCGGCAGGGTGGTGCAGTTGGTTAGAGTGTAGCTCTGAGCTATAGAGTTGCCAGTTCAACTCCCACATGGGCCAGTGAGCTGTGCCTGAGCTGAGCTGCCGCTGAGCTGCCAACAGGTGACAGGATGGCTCAGCTGGTAAGAGCACATGCTCCTAACAACAAGGTTGCAGGTTAGACTCCCACATGGGATGGTGGGCTGCGCCCCCCTCCCGCAATTAGATTGAAAGCGGCAACTGGACTTGGAGCTGAGCTGCGCCCTCCACAACTAAGATTGAAGGACAACAACTTGACTTGGAACTGATGGGTCCTGGAAAGACACAATGTTCCCCTTCCCCTATTCCCCAACACTGTTCCCTTCCCCAATTCCCCAATAAAAAAAAATCTTTAAAAAGAATAAAATAAGGGCCGGCCAAGTGGCGCGATGGTTAAGATCTGGCTTGGGACGCCAGAGGGCCCTGGTTCGGATCCCACATATGAGGGCCAGTGACACTGCCCTCCACAGCTAAGATGCCGAACAACAGCTCAACCTGGAGCTGGGCTGCCGAGAGTCTCCTGCAACGGCGTAGGCTGCAGCCCCTGTGGCAGTGGGTTGCCATGGGCTGCCGTGTGTAGCCAGCAGCCAGCATGAGCGGCCAGCAGCCGCAGTGAGCGGCCGTCCAGAAGCCG